CATAATTTTTTTATGTTTGTTAAAAAATTTAGCTAGAAGACTGCGATGATCAATACATAAGTTTGTTTATAGTTTTTTTATGGTTCTTCACTGATTGCTACTCTGCTTTCACCTACACGTTAACCTGAACAGAACTTATTTGAATTGAACATTTAGAATAGTTTAGCAATTTAAAAAATTTGTAGTTTACTGTACAAGTTCAACTTACTTTATATCGTATACTGTCGCTGCAATTTTTGGACACAGTTGGTGACGGGAAGAAATATTCAAAATGTTTTGCTTCTTTTGGTTCAATACGGCAGGGGAAGAAATCATATAAGCCATACATAGCACCAGTATATGGATATTTGGAATCAACTTTTACCAAGACGCCACCGTCTTTGCATTCATAGTTGAAGGAAAAAGAATCTGTAACTAAATTAATAACAGTTTTATAAAAATCTTCTCAAACCTTTTTTCGCCGTGTTTTTCTCTGTTATGTATCCAACTTCTACTACTATTCCTGCCCTTTTTCTTTTTCTCCTTTTTTTGTTGAAGAGCTTTTTACCCGCTTTTTACTTTAATGTTTTTAGAGCAAGAAATAGAGGAGAGGGGGAGGGTGGAGGAAAAAAGAAGGAAGTGGTCTACTCAGTCAAAAATGTCATTTAATTTATCACTATAAATTAAATATGATCGGTTTTGAATCTCATCTTCTTTTTTTTGTTTGATTTATGTATATTTGTGTGCCTCTATGATTACTGTCGTTATTATTGGCATTATTGGTATTATTTTTGAACAAACTACTTGAACGACTTACCTGAATTAAAAACCCAGTTTTTTTTCTGACATTGTATTTTTCTGATAGGTCTAGGTCAATTAAAAGTTTAAAAAATTAAGCAACAAAAGATTTGTTGTACTGTACGGTGAGGAAGCGACAAGTATAAATTTTTTAGCAATTATTTTCTTGCCATTTTTTTCAACAATTTTCAATTGTCAATAATTCTAGGTTTGTATTTTTGAGCAATTTTTTTATTTTACAAAAATTTTTAGACGCTTTTGTCTGAATGGGTGCCATCTTCGCGATAGTTATAGGTGAAATGACAAATGCTGTGACCTATGTTTATCTGCTGTGCTGTTTTGAACCCTGACACCAAAAATGTGTTCTATTCTGTTCTGTTCTGTTCCGTCTTTAATTCCTATTTATTTATTTAATTTTTGTTTTTTTCTCACTTACCACTTGAATATTTTAAATTTAATTTAAATGGAAAGCAGTAGTAACAATTTTATAACATAATAGAAAAAAAACCTGAAGGAAAGTCTAATAATAGCTTTGTTAATAATCTTTTTTTTTTTCGGATTATATGATCTATTGTTGACAACTATTTTTCCCACAAGTCTTTTTTTTTTGGCTTTTTCTTTTCTTTCGTTCCAAAGTTTTTACGCTTAATTCGAAAACTGCGTATTAATATTTTTTTCTTTTTCAAAGTTAAAGGTGATCGCAGGGGGGAGAACGATGCAAAATTATGCGACAGAAAAACTGTTATTGTGTAATAACATTGCTGCTATTGTTACGTGATTTGATGACATTGGCCCAACAGATAGGCAAATTTAGTATGACGACAATTGTTGGCCTTTGAACGGCAATGAACCGGATCGGTTGTTGAAGAACCAGCAGAGAGAAGAGGGTTCAATCGGAAAGCTCATTTAGGGCAACTGAGTTCACTGACCACCGTTCCATATCCAAATCCAATCCATTTACATATCTCATCCTCTATCTATGCATCTCATCAATTCACACATTATTAATCACGGTCAACCGGATAAACCACTTGATGAGTCAGCTACCAAATAGTTACTTATTTGTTCCCTATCTTCCTGACTGCTAATCAAAAAGAAAAAGAAGATGAGAGCGGTGAAAAAAAACTGCTTTTTATTCTATGAGAAAAAAGAAGAACTTCATTTCTGGTGGAAAAAAAAGAACAGAAAGCAGAAAAAAATTTTTAATAGGATAATCTTTAGCGGTTACACTTAAACTGTCAAGCAAAGTTGTTTTCATCTGTTTATATACAGACACATTTTATATAAATGATAATAGTAATAAAAACTAAAATTGATAATAATTGTGTTTTTTTTTTAGTATGCACTAAATTTTTTAAAGAATTAAATCATTTCTGCTTAAGCTTATTAAATTATTTACTTTACATAAGTTTGTACAATCTTTGTCGCAACAGAAGAAAAACTGTTGTCTAGAAATCTAAAAAGAAAAAAAAATTTTGACATTTGTAGTATGTATATATTTAAGACAAAAAAATAAGTTTTTTGGCAAATAGTTGCTTTATAGACTCGTTGTTGAGCAGCTTATTAGAGAATAAAGTGTATAGAAAATCATTAGAGATATAATGTGACCAAAATTTGTAAAAATAAAGTTAAAAATGGTAAATAATATACGATACCAATTAGTAATTTTGTTGCAATTATCAATCAATTGATAATCAGCAATAATATTATTAAACCTACTGTTGAAGCAGTTATTTTCGTAATAGTCAATTCGATAGTTTGGATTATAGTTCATACGCATTCTAGACGGTTTACTGAGTTGATTTTGCTGTGACAAATGACATCCACCATCTGTTCGATTAAACGAAACACTTCGACATGAAAATTTCTTCTCATCCAAACATGCCGATAAACAGTCCTCCAATGTACTGGTAAAAATTAATTTATTAATTTCACGGGCATCCATATAACGATCGGGTAAGTATGTGAATGCATAATCACCGGAACATGTTCGTTCAGCTAAATAGATGTTTCCTTCAAAAGGTTATAAAAAAAGTACAAAAAAAAATGCAAAGAAGGAAAAATTTAGATAAAATAAAATGCAGAAATGCTTGCTGTTAGCAGAAAAAAAAGGAGGAAACAACAGCAATAAAAACTTTTTTTGTCGTTTTTTTAACCTTGAATTAACTTTAAAAAAAACTTTTCAACACATTTTTTTTCCTTTTTAACCGTCAGTGAAAAACAGCAAAAGAGAAAAAAACATCTTCGAATTCAATTTTTTTAAGAATGAATTATCAAAAAGTTGAGAGAGGGAAAAAAAACGAACATTTAACACAATACTTCCAATAGAATGAATAACGATCATCAGCTTCCACAAAACCATCAATGTGTTGCAGTTGATCAGCTTGATACAGTTGACAATGATGTGTCTGAGGACTGGTACCCGGTCTGTAGTTGAAGCTGAAATAAAACAGAATCCTAGTGGATTTTTGTCTAATACTACACTTCTTTTATACTAAAAGTATCACTACACAACTGTACCATTATCTAACCTGTTTTTTTCCACTGATAAAGTGAATGAAACAGTTGTTAAAAGCTTTTTTGCTCGTACAACATTATCATTTAAACAATACATTAGCCAATATTTGACATTTGAAGGAGTATAGGAAGTCTAAAGCGCGCTTATAAAGTTATCAGCAATTCTTCTTCTGACTAACCCAGAGCACTGTAGTTCGGTATTACTTCTGATCAAATCTTCCTCATTAGTACATGCATTTCTGCATGCATTTAGTGAATATGGTCCCTCGGCTCGTGAACCAAACACTAATTTAACTCGTAACCATCGAACAAAAATTGCATTACATTGTTCTTTAGCATAAACTGCAAACCATCAAACAGTTATTCAAACGTTCAATACGTTTAAAAAAAAATTTTTTTTTGCAGTAACTGGTTTTTTTTTTAATTTTATAATTTAATAAATTTTATGACAATTAAATTTTTGAATGATAACACTACAAATTTTGCTTAACAGTGTTTTGTGTTTCATTTTTTTTCCAATTGTTAACTTTCTAATTTATTCTTTGGCAAAAAACTGTTATAGCAACAAAACAGCTTTAAAAAAGCATTTTGCATAAACAAAAGTGAGCGCGATAAGGAAAAGTTTTTGTCTTTTTAGTCATTAAAACAGAACAAACAGTTTTTTTTTGTACAGTTTTTTGGTTTTGAGTTTACGCACTAACACTGCTTAGATGCTGCAAATTTTTAAACTGCACAACCGTGTAAAATGTGAAATTAAAAAAACCTTAGTAATACAAAAAAAAAAACAGAAAACAAATTTTTGATGAAAAAAGAATTTTATTAGAAAAAGCTAAGCAATTTTATATGTTCAGTTTATTTGACAAAAAGATAATGAAAAAAACTATTCTGACTCTCGATAAAATTATATAGAAGAAGGTTTAACACTGAGAAAAATAAGCCTTTTTAGATAAAAGATAAAAAAGAATTGATACTTACTTTTACTGAGTGTCAGCAGCAGCAGTATCACACCAAACCACAGTAACTTCATGGCTCTGAAAACAAATGTTTTTGATTACTTGAACTGGATTAGAGTTACTGGGGAGAAATTTAACGTTAAGACCACTATTGCAGTGTCGTAGGGAAAGGATGACAGTTGATGAATTGTTGATTTGACGATATCCGTCTGATGGCAAAAGAACATAGGCGATGATACTTCAACGAGGTTAATAAACGCGAAATAAAAACAAAAAAGAGTAAGAAAAAAAATTTGAAGATATTGATCAAATAAAAACAGTATCACTACAAATTTTGATGTCCATCGGTGTTCCGTTGATGTACAATGATGACGATCATACCGTTATACACGGTTTAAAAGTTTACCAACAGAATAAGTAGCAGAAAGAAAAAAAAAACTCTTATTACTACCACTTAAACAGTTTAATTTTACAGAATTTTTCTTCTAAAAAAAAAGAATCAGGATAATGTTTTACCTAATTTATAAAGTATAAATTTTTAAACGTTAGAGACGAGTTAAGTGGTCAGATGAATGTTGTTGCTTGCAGAAATGTAGAAAAACAAAAGTGTTGTTGTACGTTAAATTATAGAAATTTCTTTATAGATTCTTTTTCTCAAAGTGTATAATTCAAAAAAAAAAAAAATATTAGTCTATTTTCAACAATTATGAACAGCCGAGACAGAAATAATACTACTGTACCTACCAGTTCGCAAAAAGAAAAATAAAATAATAAATAATAAATAAAGAAATAAATAAACAAAAACAAAAAGAAACAGTTATGTAACTTTTTGTTTCAAAATTTTTGATAGACTAATTTTGACGTTTCAAATGGGATCTGTTCGCTTGACTAAAAAGATACAGCAACCGCCAATGGAAAAGGTGATGAATCTGTCCAATAGGTGAAGAAAAAGCGGTGTATAAGAATACAGTTTTAGTTGATTCTGCCAAACCTGAAAAAGGTTTTGCTGCTAATGCTGCTGCTGATGGTATTTTTAATAGAATGGATGATATTTATTAAATAAAACATATATTAACAGTTTCATTTTGTAAGATAAAAGTGTACCAAAAAATTTTTTTATGCAACGGGGCTTAGTTGATTCGCGCAGTTGCCTTCAATTTCTGCTTTTTTTCTTTCAGGTTATACCAAAAAAAGAAATTATCATTATTATTATTATTACTTTTTTTTTCGATAGAATCCTTTAAGAGTTTTAGTTTCAAGGTTATCCGAATCAGCACTACGCAACAGCAGCAACAAAAACACAAATAAATACATATGGAAAAAAATTTTTTTTTCTTTGCAAGTTTTTTTTCTCAGTAACAAATAATACAACCGAAAAGAAAGAAAAGAAGATGCTTTTTTTTTTTTGCAGTTTTGTATTTTTTTTTTT